TCCTAGAAGTCCCTCTAGTGGTTACTAATGTAAATAGTAAGAACAACCCAGAAAACAATGAGTATTATTCATGTAAAATCCACCAAGAGTCACCCTGGCATGTTAAAACTCTGTATTTGTTGTTCATAAATACTGTTTTAACAAGTAAAACTAGAGTTCTTTTCTAGACTTCAGAAATTCTAAATGTAAGTGATTATAAAGATGAGCCTTTTCTTAGGAAATTGGCCATTGTTTTTTCTTCAGAACCTAAAAATCATATATTATGAACAGTACAGTCTTTAGAAAATAAATCTGATATGGAAATTTGATAGTTTATGAGTGTATCGGTAATTATGTTGTAGCCCACTTTATAAACCTCATTAACTTCATTTCCAAATAAGGATTTATCTAATAGAAATGTCATTAAAATGCCATCATCTGTGGGGTGTTTATTGTCATGTTTTTTTTTTTTTTCTAACTAACAATTTGTAGCAATGTGATATTCATCCCAGAATCCTGTGACTGCGTATTATGTTGTTTGAAGTGTTACATCTGTTCATTGGTACCTCATACTAATCTCTGTTCTTGTCATTCGTGTTACACCCACCAACCCTGCTACCAACCAAATCACACACAGGGAGCATCTGGCTTAGACGGAAAGCCAGGATCCCGGGTGAGTCGGTCCCTCGTCTTGCTCTGATGTGCTTTGCCACTGTGAGTTGTGGGCTTCTGGACAGACCTCTTTGCTGAATGTACTCTCATCGATTGATGAGGGGTACACAGGACTGGAGTGAAGGGGAAAGAGGACAGAAAATAGGGTGCAGCTCTGTTTGCAGGACAGTTTAAACTACCAGAACATCTTTCTAAAGCCTGGGTTCAAATCTGGATAATTTGCTGGAAATTACCTACTTGGATTCATTGTCTTAGTATCCCAAATAAATTTTTTCTTAGCAGAAGGACATTCCCTATAATTTCATGTAAGATGCACTCTGAAGAGATGAAAATAAATATAAATCTGGCCCTTCATTTTTAACTAGCTTCCTCTTTTATGTTTCTGTCTATCTTAGAAATGTTACTTCTTGCTTGAAACTAACTTTCAAGTCTCGGTTCATAGAAATGACTTGTCTGTCTCCTGTCACTTTGTCTCTTTATTTGCTTCTTAACATCTCCCTCTCTTAAGTTTCAGCCACAGGTACTCAGGATTTAGAAGTCTTTTAAAGACGAATTTTAAGTTTAGGCAGTAAGAAAAAGATCTGTTACGACTATGAGAATTCATCAACATCAGAATGAATTTAAAACCCTGAATTCTTTCACATCACAAACCTCTGACAGAATAAACCAGGGCAGTAGAACAGAAGTAGGAATACTCTAGAAGAATTATGCTGCAGTAGTTCCTGCATGTGCAAATATTATAATAAATTCTTCACAAACCTAGGCATAGTCTTCCCGTAAATGAGCAAATATGCTTGAAGTCCTGGCTACGTTTTTAAGAAACTAAAACAAAACTCTTCAACTCTAAAAGTCTGCTTCAGACAGTCATTATTTTCACTGGCCCTCGGTGTGTCTATATTCATTCAGGTGCCACCTCCTCTGGTACAGAAATCTTAATCTTGAAACAGGAGGCCAGAAGGCAATTAAGCCGTTAAATCATCTCTGCCGCCTGGTTTGGGCATCATAAGCCCAATGACTCCGGCCACTGCAGCCAAACCTGTAAGAATAATTCTGTCCCTCTCAGCTTCTGCTGCCCCTGACAGAATCCCAGGAAGTTTGGCCTGATAGCTAGACACTGTTCTCATTGATTGAATACTTTGTTTTGCTTGTATAACTGTTTAAGCCTCTTTATCACAGCTGAGAACAAGGCTTCAGAGCATCTCTGGCCAAGGAGAGTGGGGGTGGCAGTGGACATTGAAAGTGGACATAAGGATGAGGTGATGTGGAGGAAAAATAATTACATTTTCTTCTTCAGACTATGGGAGTAAAGTGAAGACGTTCCATTTAGTAAAGGAGGAAATATGTAATTAAATATGACATACAGCTTTTGGTGCCTTTTATTGAAATATGCAGTTATATAATTCATCCTTTTTATATAAGTTTCTTGAAAACCACTGGCCTGAAAGAATCAAGTATAAAGTACTTGGGAAGGAGATGACTTGCCTTAACTGATGTTCTTCAGGCTGCATTCACTCAGGAAAAGTCCAGGATAAGTTATAAGTGCTTTTATTGTAGCCTTTGTGAGATGTCTCGTATTATCTTATTTTTATCTTTTTTTTTTTTTTTTTTTTTTAGGGTACAGATGGCCCTATGGGACCTCATGGCCCTGCAGGTCCCAAAGGAGAAAGAGTAAGTTGCTCCTGATGTTATTAAGCCACGTACTAAATAAAGCAGTGTGGCTTTTTGAACCGTTCATTTACCAGACAAGAAATAAAGGGCTATCTAATATTAAATGGGGGCCCTGGTGGCACAGTCGTTAAGAGCTCGCTTGCTAACCAAAAGGTCAGCAGTTCAAATCCACCAGCTGCTTCTTGGAAACCCTATGGGGCAGTTCTGCTCTGTCCTGTAGGGTCGCTATGAGTCAGAATTGACTCAGTGGCAACGGGTTTGGTTTTTTTGGTTTTAATATTAAATGAAAATAGAGTCCATCTTAAGTTTCATTCAGAGCCCTAACACTGAGAGATGAGAGCCACAAAACATAAGCTAGAATATGGCTGCCTTAATAAAAACAGTGCATACATTTACATAGCTAAAATAAATAACTCAGATTATTCTTTCTTAAACCATAAGGAAGATATTTTCATTTGGCCTTAATCCAGAAAGTTGAAGTCAATGGGGCTAAATTTCAAGGACCACATATTTTGGTTGATAATCTTTTGTATAAAGCTACTGTATTCATTCAGACTAAGTTATAGCTTTTTCTTTTTCCTTAAAGGAAATGACAAAACCTAAGTATTCTCCTCTGCAGTTACACATGCTCCCATTTTCTAGCAAAAGAATAGCCTGTCTTTCTCTAACCATAAGGAAATAATTACAGTGCATTATAAAACAAAAACCTTTCACTAACGTCTGTATTGCTTGGCCATATTTCCATATCCTTTAGAGGAAAAAAAAAAAAAAGACATTGAGAATGAAGATAAATGTCTGACACGAAGCCATGTGCTGCAGCACCAGCAGCTGGCCATTTGTCTGGAACTTCTCTCCCTCCCGCTCTGTTTTTCTCCCCCGTTTTCTTTTCTTCACCTTGGCAAACAGAAGTGTTTTCTCGTGTGTCTGAGTGGAATTGTGTCATCAGTTTTCCCAGAATCCAGAACGGGATGTAGAGAAAGTATCCTAAGAGTGAGGGCTTCAAAATGCTGGGATGATTCACTGTGCAAGTTTGTGGTCTTTTAAAATTAGGTAGATTTTCATCAGTCTGGGATAATTTCCTTTAAAAGAGAGCCCTGGGTAGTGATTTCTTTGACGTGCTTTCCAGTTCCATAATTCTGTGAAGTGAATTCATTCATTCAGTAAATATTTAACAAATGCTACCAGTGAAAAACCAGTTGATTGACTCATGGCGACTCCATGTGTGCCAGAGTAGAGCTGTACGCCATAGAATTTTCAATAGCTGGTTTTTCGTAAGTAGATTGCCAGGCCTTTCTTGTGAGGTACCTCTGGGTGGACTTGAACCTCCAACCTTTCAGTTAACCGTTACACCACCCAGGGACTCCTTATTAAATGCAAGACACAGTATTACTTCAAGAGTATGAAATGGTAACACTCTCCTCACACATACAGACTTTTTAGCAAAAGCCTATTTTGCTAGATTATTCTGGTACATTGAATGATACCATTATAACTGATTCATCATCTCACAAACTTTTATTAATACCTGTCTTAGTCATCTAGGGCTGCTATGTCAGAAATACCACAAGTGGATGGCTTTAACAAAGAGAAGTTTATTCTCTCACAGTCTAGGAGGCTAGAAGTCTGAATTCAGGGTTCCAGCTCCAGGGAAAGGCCTTCTCTCTCTGTCGGCTCTGAGGGAAGGTCCTTGTCATCAATCTTCCCTTGCTCTAGGAGCTTCTCAGCCCAGGGACCCCTGGTCCAAAGGGCGTGCACTCCTGGCTCTACTTTCTTGGTGGTATGAGGTCCCCCTGTTTCTTTGCTCACTTCTGTCTTTTATATCTCAAAAGAGATTGACTTAAAACACAACCTAACCTTGTAGATTGAGTCCTGCTTCATTAACATCATAGAGGCAGGATTTACAACACATAGGAAGATCACATCAGATGACAAAATGGTGAACAATCACACAATATTGGGAATCACAACCTGGCCAACTTGACATATATTTTGGGGGGACATAATTCAATCCATGACATTCCACCCTTTGGCCCCCCAAAATTCATGTCCTTGATACATGCAAAACACATTCCCCCATCACATCATAGCAAAAGTCTTAAATCAACTCCAAGTTCAAAATCTTATCTCCTGCAAAATTCCTCTTCATCTCTGAAATCTAGAATGCAAGTTATCTGCTTCAAAAGTACAGTGGTGGAACAGCCACAAGCTAGACATTTCCATTACAAATGGAAGAAATTGGCGGGAAAGGAAAGATAACAGGCACCAAGCAAGTCAGCAGAACATATTACATTAGCCCTCAAGGCTTGAAAATAATCCTCTGTTCTCAGAGACCATTTAGGCAATGGCCTTGGCCTCCAGAATCTGGGTGTTGGCCACACTCTCTCGATTCTGAGGGGAGGCCACTCGGCCCTGGGCTTCAGCTCCGCCTTCCAGGCCCACTGGAAAGGTAACTCTGCTCCTTCGACTTTGGGTGGCCCCATTCTTCTAGTCCATCTGAGTGTCTACTCCACCCTTTGAGACCCCAGAGGTCATAGCCCTACCTTTTGAGACTGAGGCAGCTCTGCTTCCTGGTTCCTTGGCCTCTTCAGCTTCTGCTTCCTGGTTCCTTCGCCTCTCAGCCCCGAAAGCCTCACTGCCCACATCTGCCCTGCTGGAGCAAGTGTTCCAGACCTCTTTAGCTCTACTGATAAGTGCCTGGAGGCACCCCACTCTGCCAGTAAACTTTGGCTGGAAGGCACTCAGCTCTCTTGCTCCATAGATCAGCAAGCCTAGCTCCACCAATAAGTGCCTGGAGGCACCCCACTGCATCAGGAAGCCTCCTGCGCAAAGGCACTCAGCTCTTTCACTCCTTGGATTGGCTCCCATGCTGCCTAGCACTGGTCTCCTCATTCTGCTGCTGTTGTTTCTCTGCTGCTACCATTTCTAGTGTAACAGCTCTCCTCATTTTCTTCTGAGTCCTCATCAGAATTGTCTTCGATATCCATAATTCTATCAACAGTCTTTTCAAGGCAATCTAGGCTTTTACTATTAGATACTTTAAAACTCTTCCAACCTGTATCTATTCACAGTTTCAAAATTGCTTCCACATTTTAGGTATCTGTTAGAGCAGCACCCCACTCCCGATACCAAATTCTGTCTTAGTCACCTAGGGCTGCCATAACAGAAATACCACAGGTGGATGGCTTTAACAAAGAGAAATTTATTCTGTCACAGTCCAGAAGGCTAGACGTCCAAATTCAGGGTGCCAGCTCCAGGGAAAGTCTTTCTGTCTCTGTCAGCTCTGGGGGGAGGTCTTTGTCACCAATCTTCCCTTGCTCTAGGAGCTCCTCAGTGCAAGGACCCCTGGTCCAACAGATGCATACTTGTGGCTCTACTTTCTTGGTGGTATGAGGTCCCACTGTTGTCTGTTTGCTTCTCTCTTTTATATCTCAAAAAAGATTGATTTAAAACACAACCTAATCTTGTAGATTGAGTCCTGCCTCATTAACATAACTGCCGCTAAACCCACCTCATTAACATCATAGAGATAGGATTTACAACGCATGGGAAAATCACATCAGATTTCACAATGGTGGATAACCACACAATACTGGGAATCACAGCCTGGCCAAGTGGACACATATTTTGCGGGGGCACAATTCAATCCATGACAATACTTTATACTGCAAAGGAAGCAGCTATTTTCCTTGACTTAGAAGAGTTTACAATCTAATTGCAGAGAAAAAAAAATATCCAAGAAGTAACTAGAGAATGAGGCCAAAGTGAATACAAATAATACAGACTGTACATACAATGATGAAGGCTGGCTTTGTCCAAGAATGCTTCTAAAAAGGTATCCTAAAGGAAGATATAATCTGAAAGAATATAAATGCTCCTCAAATGTACAATTGTCTTATTTTCTAAGATCAAACCAAGGACTTCTGGAGATAATCTGAATTGAAAATAAATATTTAAAAGCTAAGCGCTTCAGTGCTGCTGGTGACGCAGATGTGCTTTCAAGCACTGTATCAAGAAATCCAGTACTTGTACTAAAAATGGAGCAACAAATCTCAGGCAGTCTTTTGGCTGAATGCCCTGGGGCTCAAGAGGGCTTACCGTTTGCTAAATCAGCTGCTACTTCCGAACGCTCCAGAGTGTCACAAGAGTATCAAGTCTCACTGCTGGAGCAGAATTAACCAGGAGAGCAAATGAAATCGCTAAGAATTTTTGAAGGCATAGTTTAAGTCAAATGGTGTGCAGTGTAAAGTGCTACACTTGTATTTACTCAGCATGTTAACTGTCTTGACTGGATCCAGTGTCAGTTGTCTCTAAGTGCCCCTTACCCAAAGTGCGAAACTGGAGTGAGATTCTCAAAGTTCATTGACTGAGGCTCCATGTGGACTCTCTTAACGAAGTTTCAATTTTAAAGAGGTAGGAATCAGCAAAGGGAGTGATTCTAGAATAATTCCTACGTGTACACATGCAAATTAAAGAATCTAAATGAAATTAGACCAGGCTACAGGAAACCATGCATTTGACAGGCAATGTTATTCATAAACTGTCCAATATATGACTGACAGCATTAGTATTTGACTCTTCAAGCACTCGATGCTGCCTGCCTTCTTCATTTGGCCCTGTAATTGCTTGGAAACTCGGGTAGAGTGTGTTAAGTTTGAGAAGTTCAAAAGTCCTTAGTCCCAGGGTGGTGCAAATGTTTTAGCACTTGACTACTGACCCAAAGGTTAACAATTCAGATCCACCCAGAGGTGCCTCAGAAGAAAGGCCTGATGATCTACTTCTGAAAAATTCCCTTAAAACCAAACCCATTATGACTCATAGCAACCCTGTAAGACAGAGTAGAACTGCGCCACAGGGTTTCCAAGGCTGTAAATCTTTATGGAAGCAGACTGCTACATCTTTCTCCCACAGAGCAGCTGGTGGGTTCGAACTGCCAACCTTTCAGTTAGCAGCTGAGCACTTAACTACTGTGCGACCAGGGCTCCTTTCCGAAAGATTACAGC